TCTGTTGTAGTTCAGATAGTACCACAAGAACACATTATTTTGCATTGCAGGATTTACCAGGTTCAGAGAAACAAGTTAAGAATCTTAGTAATATGAAAATGGAATTTAACATTGTTGATTTATTCCAGAAAGATTCAGGAAGCAATGGATATCAGGCTATTAAAAAAATAAAAAAAAGATTTCAGGCTCTAATTTAAATATCATGTAGTTCCCACTCCTTACCAGTGGTGGCGATAATGCTTCCTTTAGTTGTTTGCCAAACTTCAATTAATAAAAAAAACACTAGGTGGCAGTGTTCGACTTTTCGGTTATTTATTGACTTGTTTGGGGACAGAAGAAGACATTCCGATTACGATAAAAAACAAAACGAGGCTCAAATTCACCCTCATCGATACATTTTTGTTTATCGAAAGGCTTTTTACGTGTATCAATCCAGACCCGATTGAATCTAAGGTGAGGTTCATAGCTTGGTAGCGTTTACTTTTCCTTCAAAAAACATTTTGTAAACATTTCAGTTAGCTTCTGCTAACTAGCCATACCGCCAGTTCGACTTTTTCTCGTATTTTGGTGACACATTATTTATTTTAACTAAACTTTTCCGGTGCCGTTTTAATCAGAGATAGCTCAGACATGTCGGAAGATTATGAATTCAGTGAAGATCCGTGCACGACGACAATGGAAGACGACGCAGAGGCTAACGACGAAACTCCCATGTCAACCTCAGACAACGGCCTGATGGAGGCCGAGGGCGCGAAGATCGACGCCAGCAAGAACGTGGAGGACGGAGGGTAAGATGTCCGAGTTACCGTGAACTTTGAGCTGGAGAAACTTCTGATGAGCCCCTATCGACATTATCTTAACAAATTACAGTCACGATCATGTGAACTTTGGGTTTTTATTCACAAAAAGCAGGTTTACTGACGTCACAACAGAAGTCATCTCAGGGCACTGAACAGAAACAGTCCTATATAAAAATAAGTTAACAGAAACATTCATATATACAAAATAATTTAACATTATTTATCTGAGAAGCAGACTGCTTTAAATTTAACTTCATCACAGAACTCTCATCTTGAGCAAGGATGAAGGCGACAGTGGAAAGAAAAAACTTCCTCGAGAGGAAGAAACCTTCATCAGAACCAGTGGTGGAGAAAGTACTCAAACACTGTACTTAAGTAAAAGTACAAATAAACAGACAAAAATGTACTCTAGTAAAAGTAGAAGAACCGCATTAATGTTTTTACTTAAGTAAAAGTAAATAATACTTGCTTTTAAAAATACTTAAAGTAGTAAAAGTACTTGCTGAATGCATTACATAATGTAATGGTCTACATATCTTTACGTCTGCCTACCGTATGTACATTTTCTGTAATACATTAATAGTGTTGAGCCATTTTAATGAACAATGCTGCAGATAATACATGTTTTTATTGTGACACAGTTCACTCTTGGACTTGTGATTCTGTGCATCAGAATTTCAGGGATGACCTGCAGAGTTAAATATCATTAATCAAAATAAGAAAGAGAAATGATTTTACCTTTGAAAGTTTTTATTTAACACAAATCAAAACCAATGTGTCATTTTAACTGCAGTAAACATATTTAAGTAAAAGTTGTCTGATGAAAAAAGAAACATTAGACACAACTAACAAAGAAATAGTCTCTGATCATTTCCGATCAACTCCAGTTTGTCGTCAACTCTAGTTAAAATACTGTCTAAACCTTATAATGGGTCAGTAGTGAACAGTATATTTTAACTTCCTGACACCGTTTTCAAAACTTGGACCTGAGTGTCGAGCCATTTGGAGACATCTCTTGTCTCCTAATCTAACATCCCATGAACTGACACATTTTAATATTGCAACAAGAATTTCTTGTTCAAGTTCAGAAGAAGTTGGTTTTCAAAGTTTTTTAAGTCCAGTCTGGCTCTTTTGGGAGAGAGAATCTGTCCTGCTGTACTGAATAATCTTTCAATAGACTTTCAATAAGGCCATGGGTGGCACGTACTGTATCTTCTGGCTGACTGTCCCCGGTGGAATTCATTTTGGGTGTGTTAGCGGTGCTGTGGGTGCGCCCAGCTCAGTGATGTATATACTAGAATATAGCTCTTCTTGAAGGTGGGTCTAACGTTACCTGCCCATTTTGCATTGATTCAATGGACCAACTCCCCTCTCGCCATTGGTTACTTTCAAATTAACGAACAAATAAAAAAGTTGCAACGTGAATGTAATTTGTAACACAACGCACTATAGAAATGTAGTGTAGTAGAAAGTACAGATACTTAATGTAAAATGTAGTGAAGTAAAAGTAAAAAGTACCCATGTTTAACTCTACTTAAGTAAAGTACAGATACATGAAAAGTGTACTTAAGTACAGTAACGAAGTACTTGTACTTAGTTACATCCCACCACTGCTCAGGACAAGCGGCCATCTCCTTCGACCCGCTGGGTTTGTTAGAAACGGATACACAATGGCAGGTTGAGAGTCATATTTTAATAAGCCTATGGCAGCATAACAAGCCAACCCTAAAAAAGTCTGAAGCACAGAAAAAACGTTTGTTACGTACTGTAACCCCAGATTCTATGAGTATAGGCGTAGCCCTTTAAGAGCTGTCGCTAGTGGGTTAAAGGCGAAGCAGATGTAGTCTCCGCCTCACTGGGTCCATTCGAACACCATATGAAGCGCCAGCTTGCCCAAAAAACATCTTGTCACTCAGCTCTCCATGTGCGTAAATACACGTTGCATAATTACGCGCACCATGCGCAGACGCTCGCTGCGTAGTTACGCGTTCCGACTGCATGAACGCCCCGGAAAGGTTTTCAACGGGGAAAGAGAAGAGGCTGTCCAAAACCAACAAAGCACTGCTAGTTTTAATATTTTCATGTCATTTGTTTTGTAGATTTGTGAATACTAGTACTAATACAAGGAGTAAAACATACTCACTTTAACTTTATTTCTTTAAAGTAGGATACTTAATTTTTCCCCATTAAAAAAAAATGTCTAGGCCTGCGGAGTTCATCGTTTTAATTTATTTTTAGTTGGTAAAACCTATATAAAAAAGTAATCCTTTACAATAACCCAGTCTTTTCTTTTGTCTTAAAATGTAAAAAATATCTAAGTGTTTAAAATCATTAGATATTTTTAATTTTATTATGCCACTCCTTCTGGGCTGAAAAGCTTCCTCAAACAAACTTAAAGTGGTTCACGTGCCACCAGTTGATGACCACAGTTGGAGCAGGTTTTGTGGCTCCGAACATTTTAATTTAGTGAACGAAGGGGCATAAATGGCTCTTTGGATCGTAAAGGTTGCAGACGCCTGGTCTAGAAGAAAAAAAGTTTCTTAAAAAAAAAAAAAAAGGTTGTCACATCAAAATCCAAGATGTCCGTTGCTGTGAGAGAGAGGAGCAGAGCTGACTTCAGAAAACTGCTTTTTAGTTTCTCTCTGTTCAGGACTTGTGTGAAAATCTGATGTGTTAGGTCATATTTTTTTCAGAAATACAGAAACTTCTAGAGTTCACAAACGTTCAACACCACTGTTTATAATTTGTTTCGTCTTTACAGACGTTGCTTCTTGTCTTCCTTGATATGTTCGTTTTCTCAACAGGAAGATGTTTGTTGGAGGGCTCAGCTGGGACACGAATAAGAAGGACTTGAAGGATTACTTTTCAAAGTTTGGGGAGGTCGTAGACTGCATATTAAAACTGGACCCACTGTCTGGTCGATCAAGGGGCTTCGGCTTTGTGCTTTTCAAAGAACCTGAAAGTGTTGAAAAGGTACATTTCCTGCTGAAGAACTTTTACTTTTATTTCATCTAAAGTGTAAACTACAGGTTGACTGATGTGAGTTTTTCTATACGGATCTTTAGAAATCAGGGCACCATGACAATACACAACAGTTTGTTTTTATGGCCAATATATAATGTTCATTTTAACTAAATAAAACGATTATTGTTTAATCTAAATGTATTTTTACCGACCCTTAGAAGAACTTGTACACCTAAAAATAACAAAAGAGCATTCTTGCTTTAAAAATAAAAACATTTAGGACTTGAAATTGAAATAACAGTGTACAGCTCTGTTAAACATCTTTGATGGACATGTTACACTGGATTTTTTATGATGAACATGCTCACAATGTTTTGTTGTTTTTTGGGATTGGTTACTGTAGTAAGGTTTGAACATTCAGACGGTTGTTTAACAGCACATGATACTCCTCTGAAAGTATTTCCAGGCTCTGTTCAGAGTAGGGCTGTATACCAAACCGAGGTTATTTTATGGCACCGACCGAACTGCACCGGTCGGTGTATGGATTGAAACGTCACTCTTCTTTCTGTCAAGTTTCGGTATTGGCTGTAACGTGTCACGTGGTTTCAGCACGCGGGCAGGTAAAACACCAGACATATGACAGACTACGTGTTTACATCCAGAGCTGTATAGAGCTGCCCTACAGCTTGTAAGTCTTACGGTGTTGGTTCCACCCACAGACGGGGTTCACGTGAGCAGCGCATGTGGCGTTGAACGGTTTCAATTTATGAGCGGAAAGTTGCTCCGTGTTTGTCTTCAAGGGGGACTGCAGCCCCCCCCCCCCCTCCCTCTCAGCATTAAAGTCAGCCTGTGGGTGTTAGAGCCTAAACGGCTTGATTCATTATCTCCACGACCGGACTCCTCTTCATTAAAGAACTCCGAGGACAGAGCTGTATCTGGCATTTCAGCTGGTAAGTTTACGTTTGCTAACGTTACTGCAGCTTAACACGTACATCGCGGTGAATTAACCTAGAATCCTTGTAATGCTAACTTTAAGATATTAGTGTGTACCTTCATTTTATACATGTAACTAGCTAAACTCAGAAGCTAACTAACTAAAGATTGACCGTAACAGATAAAGCTTGTGCTCATCCATCCGGTCAGCTGGTTAAACAGTTCACCTCATGCTCACTTTTTACAAACCGAATTCCAAAAAAGTTGGGACACTAAACAAATTGTGATTAAAAACTGAATGCAATGATGTGGAGATGGCAAATGTCAATATTTTATTCGTAATATAACATAGATGACAGATCAAAAGTTTAATCTGAGTAAATGTAACATTTTAAAGGAAAAATATGTTGATTCAAAATTTCAGTGTCAACAAATCCAAAAAAGTTGGGACAAGTAGCAATAAGAGGCTGGAAAAAGGAAATTGAACATATAACGAACAGCTGGAAGACCAATTAACACTAATTAGGTCAATTAACAACATGATTGGGTATAAAAAGAGCTTCTCAGAGTGTCAGTGTCTCTCAGAAGCCAAGATGGTAAGAGGATCACCAATTCCACCATTGTTGCGCAGAAAGATAGTGCAACAACACCAGAATGGTGTTACCCAGCGTAAAATAGCAAAGACTTTTAAGTTATCATCAACCATGCATATCATCATCAAAAGATTCAGAGAATCTGGAACAATCGCTGTGCGTAAGGGTCAAGGCCGTAAAACTCTACTGGATGCTCGTGATCTCCGGGCCCTTAAACGTCACTGCACCTCAAACAGGAATGCCACTGTCAAGGAAATAACAGAATGGGCTCAGGAATACTTCCAGAAAGCATTGTCAGTGAACACAATCCACTGTGCCATCTGCCGTTGCCAGCTGAAACTCTACAGTGCAAAGAGGAAGCCATTTCTAAGCAAGCTCCACAAGCTCAGACGTTTGCACTGGGCCAGGGGTCATTTAAAATGGAGTGTGGCAAAATGGAAGACTGTTCTGTGGTCAGATGAGTCAAGATTTGAAGTTCTTTATGGAACACTGGGACGCCATGTCATCTGGACCAGAGAGGACAAGGATAGCCCAAGTTGTTATCAATGCTCCGTTCAGAACCCTGCATCACTGATGGTATGGGGTTGCATGAGCGCTTGTGGCATGGGCAGCTTGCATGTCTGGAAAGGCACCATTAATGCAGAGAACTATTTTCAGGTTCTAGAACAACAAATGCTCCCATCTAGACGTAATCTCTTTCAGGGAAGACCCTGCATTTTTCAACACGATAACGCCAGACCACATTCTGCAGCAATCACAACATCATGGCTACGTAGGAGAAGGATCCGGGTTGACATGGCCAGCCTGCAGTCCAGATCTTTCACCTATAGAGAACATTTGGCGCATCATAAAGAGGAAGGTGCGACAAAGAAGGCCCAAGACGATTGAACAGTTAGAGGCCTGTATTAGACATGAATGGGAGAGCATTCCTATTTCTAAACTTGAGAAACTGGTCTCTTCTGTCCCCAGACATCTGTTGAGTGTTGTAAGAAGAAAGGGGGATGCCACACAGTGGGAAAAATGGACTTGTCCCAACTTTTTTGGGATTTGTTGACGCCATGACATTTGGAAACAACAGATTTTTCCCTTAAAATGATACATTCTCTCAGTTTAAACTTTTGATCTGTGATTTGTGTTCTATTCTGAATAAAATAT